GCTACATTTCAACTTTACTGTTATTATCAGTCAATTTGTTTCGTTGTTGCAGTTCCAATTTCTCCTTGCTTATAACCGTTTTGTCGAATAGACGAATAGGATGAAGAAGCAAAACGCAATTTCGAACCACGTACGTTATTGCGATCTCAGTATGCTCTGGAAGAAGTCGATTGTGCACATGCAAATTTGACGCTATTGCGCAAATTAATAAAAGCGAAGTTACAAGAAAAAGCAGACTTCTTGCGCGTCCAAAAGAAAAGAAAATAACAAACAAGAACAGCGTTGTAGTGCAAAAAAACAACAGCAAAAGGATTGTCAGCGCCCGGGCGACTAACGTCTTCGTCGCCTTCTACGATAAAAGTCGGCACCCTTTGGACCGCCGTCAGCAACTCTTTCCATTTTTCAGTGCTCTTTCTTTTTTATTCTGGAGGAGCGTCTTCGACGTGTTCGACGTCGCGTTCTTTCTTCCTCTTGCTTTTTTTTTATTTTTATTGTGTGTGAGTATGTTTTTGTTTACTTGACGTTCGGACCATCGCGCATTTTGTTTTGCCTTGTTTGGACCTAGTTTTTGCTCTCTTCACTTCGGCGCTTACTACCGCCAGTCCGTCTGCTACGCTGTTCCCGGACATTTTGAGGGCCGTCTGCAACTTTGTTGTTGTTTTCTTCTACTTTCGTCTGCGATATGTAACCTCCTATTTTCGCCTTCGATTCAGTTTGTAATCTGAAATCTGCATACGTGCTTTTTGGTATTCATTAAATATATTAAAAAGTGCAAGCTCGTTATACATTTATATTCGAATTTTATTTGTCTACGCCGGAACGTCTGCTATGGGTCATCGTTTGTTGATCAACCGGCCGCCTTCGGGCATACACCAGCGCATATACTTGGAGATGACAGGCAAGTTTTTGCGATGTGTTAGAAAATCCTTCTTCCGCTTTTCGAAGCCCGAATAAACGTGAGTAATTAAGTTGCTGCAACATTAAAATAAAGCTAAAACAAACCACGAAAAAAAAAAGAGAGCTCTTTTTTTTATGTTGCTGCTTTCTATTTTTTTTCTTTTTTCCCTAAGCGCCGCAATGATCGTCGTCGTTGAAGAAGCTTCTTTGCTGGGTGATTTGTATCTTTCTATCGTCTGCTAACGTTTTGTTTTATTCGCCGCTGATTGCTACTTGTTTCCCATTTCTCTTTATTTTCGCCTGAGAAGGGGACCCCATTTTGTCATGCTGCAGCGGCTGGTTTGCTTACTCTGGCAATCTTAACATGTTGTTTGCGCACGTTTAAATGATCACCTATTTAGCTAAGAAACTGTGACAACGCAGTCTGAAACACATCAACAGTAACCTCTTACGACGTAGTTCGAGAAGCTAAACGCCTTTCTTCCGCTTCCTAGATGCGCTCCAAACTCGTGTGATCCCCTGAGTGGCGTTTGAGACCGCTAAATAAACTGCTCTATCTTTGTTTATGAGCGCGTTGTTATTTGATTGTCGTTGCAGTTCCGATCAGTGGATTCCGCTTCGCAAGCGGACTGACCGTAATGAATTGTTTCAGCTGTTGGGATGACGAAACGGGGATCGCAAAGCCTCGGCTTGACTCCGAGTCCTCTAAAGAGCGTTCGCCGCCGCGCTCCCGTGGGTTTTCGGAGGAACTACGCCACGTTGGCTGCATTTACATGAATGCGACCGTAGGGCATCGAGTCGAGATTTCACAATTTTGATTGGTAGCAGTTGGGTAGAAGAGGAAGAAGTAAGAAGAAAGGCTGGGTGTGATTGGTCCCTGCCCGATTCGATGCGCTACGATCGCATTCATGTAAACGTAGCCATTTACTGGCCGCCACAGCTAAGTGCGCGACTGCTTAGCGCGAGCTAATAACGAGCTACCACAGTTCACTTGCGACGTGCATGCGACACCATTAAGATTGCCGGTCTTAGCAATGCGAGCTCGTTCTGAGCACGACCACTGAAGCAGGCGATGGAGCAGACGATGTAGCAGACGATGGTGCTCATCCGGGCTACCTAGGGGGCGCTGAGGGGATCTACTAGTGATGACGTTTAGAGGAGGAAACGCGCAGGCCTTGTGTTCTAGGTGGTATTGGGTGCGGTCGTGTATCACTACTGCGTGGTGCACGTTAAAGACCCCAGGCTAGCGGTTGTACTGCACTGGCTAAATTGCTCATCTACAGCGAGTGACTCGTCACAACTTTAAAATGGCTGACCAACGACTCGCTGTATAAATATCCACACAACCCCCCAATTGCCTACAGGCTCGAGCTTTGTACTGCTGTCTTGGTCTCCCTTGGTCAGCTTCCACGCCAGGCACTATAGCCGAATCCCGACAATTCCCAGCATGTGTTCTTCAAATTCAAGAAACCTTAAGAATACATTTACGGCTTCTAACCAGACATAAAAAACATCACCTAGCCGACATTATGTCGTCTAGACCATCGCCCAACTATACTCGTGTTTTAGCACAGTACCAACAAGAATTTCCATCAAAGTTTCTAACACCAGAAATTACAGCTACTCTACCTTGGACCACACCTACGCCGCTAATATCCCTCGACATTCCTGGGATATACATACAAAACGCAACACTCCTCAGGCGGTGCTGTACCAACATACAATGACCGAAATGTATGGATCTCGTATATCTCGTGTACACGTTTTTACCGATGGTTCTACAAGTAAAATGAGCTCAACAGCCGCTGCTGTGTTTCCTACCAGAGATATAACTATTAAGCACATACTAAGTAACAAAACATCTTCAACAACAACCGAATGGATCGCCATTCAGGAAGCGGTGAAGTATATCGAGAAACAACCGCCTCAAACATGGACAATCTTCGCTGACTCCAAAGTGCTCTTGAAAATTCTACCATCGGCTATGGTACCTAGCGGATACCAAGAACTTGGTTTGAACGTCATGCTACTTTTAAACCGCTGGCGAGTGAAAGGACATGACCTACGCCTCATGGATCCCAAGCCATAGTGGGATTTCTGGCAAGGAGGCAGGAGATGCAGCGGCTAAATCGGCGCATAAAAAATGTGCGCACCCTGAAAATTCCTTACTTCAAGTCAGAAGCCAACTCAACAGTGCGTAATGTAGACAAACTCCTGACATCACATCTATGGGCTGATCCCGAATACCATCACTCCCGATTATACGCCCTCGATTCACATATGACATTTAAATATCCGTCTGGACTTCCGCGCAGGTCTCCGGCAGTACTACACAGACTCCGACTACGGGTGGCGTTTAGTCGACACTTCATACATCGAATAAGAAGAAGAGACAGCCTTGCCCGGTCTGCGGTGTCCAGGAAACTGCAAATCACGTTATCTGTGAATGTGCCATCTACGCCGTGGAAAGAAAAGACCTTCACAGAAGAATTCAGAGGCTAGACGACCGACCTTTCTCCTGTGACAAAGTGCTGGGCTCGTGGCAGTCCACGGAACATTCCATGAAAGCCACAAAAAGCCCTGATACGATTTCTCGAGGACACCCGGTTGATGCGATCCCTGTACGCGGAGACTGACATTTTGAACTATCCAACCCATCATTAAGCACCTCATCCCACTTTTTCATCCCTTAATCCCTTCCCCTGTGCAGAGTAGCCAGCTAGGACAGAAGTCCAGGCTTACCGCCTCTCTGCTTTGCACTCATCCCTTAAAAAAATAAAATACGCATCACTTCGTCTCCTTTGCTTTTCAAACTGTCGTTGCTTGTCCTTGCGGACTTGGGTGACGAGAATAGTTAAAGTAACAGACACGGCGACACGAAATCTCAAACGCTCGGTGTGCGATCTTCATTTCTTAACTTCGTGAACTTCAGTAACGTCTTTCGCAGCGTGGTCTTGAAAAAAAAAAAAAAAAAGGTCGTGGTTGTTTTTTAATTAAAATCACTGTTATACAAAATTTCAAATACGAATCCACAGCCCACTGTGGAATGGACACAGCTCAGAAAGCGCACGTTCATGGCTTTTGGAAAGCGAGCAAAGCGGTCGCACGCTGGCCTGTGTATTTGTAAACATCGTAAGGGTGTATCGTTGACAAAAAAATATGAACGCCGAGAGCACCGGCAGCAAGTTCACAACGCCCCGCGCACGTGGTCGCAGTCAGGTGTAGGCATACTTGTGCACATAACGAGTCACAGGTAACTGATTACTTGTAATCAATTACATTTTAATCTAACTTTTTATCAAATATGTCCAAAAAAGTAGAAATATTTAGCCGAGTTTTTTTTTTTTTCTTTTTTTTTTACGTAAAAATTCGTTTTGGCTGTTCGTGAATCGCTCGTGTATGTTGCAATTAATTAACGTTGGACCCTTTTCTTTGTTTTACTCCTACATAACTAAAACAAAAACACCACTATACCAAATGGATTCAAATATCAACGTGTTCAGCGACGTTGTGACTGTCGAACTGTCGATACTTCCTCCTTTCCACTTTGAATATATGTATGCATTTCTAATTTCGTGATAAGAAGTACAAAAAGAAAAGTAACGCGAAAAGTAATAAATTACATTCTGGTAATTTGTCAATCACTTTTCTGAAACAGAATTTGATTACTGTAATCAGTTACATTTTTCAATGAAGTATTTGTAATCCGTTACTTCTTTTTCAGCAACGCGTACAAGACTGGGGTGTGGGCCGGAAGCAGCGATCCAACCAGCGCCTTTCCGGCGACTCCTCGTCATTTTACGCGGCCAGCGTAGTACGCCATTGACGACATCGTCGAAGGACGACGATCAGCCAAAGCAGCCGAGCAACCAACCACACGCGAGAGGAAAAGCGTACATCGAATCCCTCCGAAATAGCGGTACCCCCCGGCGGACTTGCGTGCGGTCGCTCTCCCTCTCCCTTCGCGGATCGCGACGGCGTCGTCACGTGACACCGTAAGACTCGCGGCAGCGAGACGCGCCCACCGACAGAAGCTGCGCGCTTGTTGCGGCGGTGGACGCGCCCGCGGATAGCAGAACGCAGCAGCCGCATCGCGTGTGACGGCGAGCCGACGGGCGGTCGGTCGGGGAGGCATGGAGCACGGCAAAGGCGGCAAGGACAAGGGCTCCAAGCAGAGAGGTGTTCCTCTGGGTTTCGTGTACGTGCAGAAGGCTCCGACGCAGGTCATCTGCTACGGAGACAAGTGGCTCTGCGTCGAGGACCCTTCCAGACTTGTGGTGCTCGTCATACCAGGTGGGTTTTTTCTTTTTGCTTTTTCTTCTCCCGAGCCGCGTTAAATGCATAGTCACAAAGTCACGAAGGTATATACACCCCTTCCAATGGTTACAAATCCACGTTCCAGCACGCGCGTGTTCGTGGCTTCCGCGAGCGATAGTATTCGCGCCATGCGCACAAACTTTGAAGATGGTGCCTGCCAGAGGCTCAACATTGGAAAACGTTCTGTGGCATTTCCGAAGAAAGGGGGTAGTGCGCGTGCCCAGCTTCGATCGGCGCTCAAGCACGCGCTCCCGAGGGTAGTTTTGACTGCATAACCACTGAAAGTGGTTTTCGAGTGCAGCGGAAGAGCTTGAAAAGAAATTCGGCATACGTTTTTCAGAGTGTCCGCCGCCGTTTTTTCGCTAAGTAACTCGGTGAAACGTCGAAGGTAACCCTGGCCATAAGCGCCAACTACGGGGGGGCAGTGGGGCTCGTGCCCCCCCCGGACGGCTTCACGGGGGGGCAGAGCCCCCCCCGGCCCCGGCCCGGGATTTTTTTTAAAGAGCTTGGCTTGGGTCTGCGCCCATCGACAGTGGACTGTTGGCCGTCCTGACTGGCAGCTATTTCACAGGGGCCTGTTTATTCCCGCTTCTTATTTCCTTTCAGGCTTTTAAATGGTGGATCTCGGGACAGTGACAGGTCAGACATTCAGTGGAAAATTTCCCTCAGACGGAGTTAGATGCGCGGAATATGTTGTCTGAATGAACAGCTGAAGTGCCCGCTTCAGCTATGACAGGCTAAAAAAAGTCTTGAAAGCGTCGCGACATCTCTGTCGGTTTTTAGACAACAAAAATGCTTCTGAGAATAGGAAGCAACCCCGACACAATGAGTCAGTGACTGATTCTGCAGACCTGCTCGCCAAGAAAAAAATTTTAATTTCTTGCGCGTCTACAAATGAATGCCCTTTCGGCCAAGAAAATATTGTACACATTTTTGATTGGTCAGTGAAGGGCTTTACTACCAGTCTTGTCACCGAACAGCGACTCGAATACTCGTCCAGAAAACAACCTTTGGCGGAAAAATTTGTAACCCCAGCTTCGCACAAGGTATAGTGGTATCAAATGGTCTTTGCTACCGTCTGAGAATTATTTTTGGCCCTCTTAAAATTGAAGTCAGTCGTATAATTAAAGCTTCTCGTGCCACCATTACCCCACTCTCCCCTGCTGCATGTGTTAAAAAAAAATAAACAAAACATGACAATAAAATACACACCAGAAGCCAAATAACAGCATCGCAAAACACAACAAAAACAAAGGGACACTGCTTTGAAACAAAAGCCTGTGGGGAAGAGAGCGATTGGGCCTTCGGAGTCTCTACGAAGGCCAACTTTGGGGAAAGAATAATCATCATGCCCGATACGTGTTCCTTTTGTCATTTTTAAAACGTTTGTATGGACAGTGCGGCGCTAGGCGGCACAATCCGCTCCCCTTTTCCGTTTTATTCTGAATAGGCTTCACGAACATTCCCAGGGAAGGCATTAATACATATACGCCGCAAACAGTCAGTAGAATAGCAAGTACTTGATCACTTCCTTTGAGGCAAGGTCACCGGAGCTTATTACCTGTGGAAACTATTTTATATTAACTCCCTGGGTTGAGGCTTATTTGACAAAGAGACGGAAGCAACTGAAGGATCGTGATTGGAGTCCCGGAATAACGAGCGGGGCCAAGCGAAGTTCACTTGAAACTTAAAGGGACCATGAAATTACTTTTTTACTTTTTCCACATAACTTTTACAATAAACCGTCAATGTTCACTGAATGCCGAACAGGCATCCGTTTTCGTCTCGGTTTATTAACTTCTACACAAAAAATTAATGAAATATCGACTTTTTCTTGACCGCAAAACAAGCCGTGACGTACGATGTTTCCGGAACCGGAAGTTCTCTCTGCAGTAGGAGACGGGAGCGTTAGCGAGTTGGGGTGCGCCGGTGGGTTTTACTGCGCCGATGTCACCGACGTATTTTCTGAATCGGCGCCTCTCATCGCCGCATCGCAGCTGAACGAAATTCAATGAGATACGTTGCGCTACAGCGACAGCATGGGACTAGTCCCATACGCCGGTATGCCTGTTGGGAAGTGCAGATGGGAACAATTTGCCGCGGTGTTTTTCGCGGTCTCGGAGATGCAGGAGCGAGCCGACGTTAAAAAAGATACGTTTGAACTGTCAGCAAGAGCCACGTAAATACCTGTTCACACTCGGAGCGGACGCGCGCGTTTGATGAAGTGCTGTATTCGCGCTGTTGGTAAGCGCTTCGGGACCGATCTTTTACAATTGCAACTCGATACTGACGCGACACTCGGCAAAGAAAGGTTGGACCGGTATTGCACGTATACCTCCCACGAACTGTTACAGCTCGACAGTGACGTGCAGTCTGTCAGAATAAAAATGGCATACCAATAACAAAGTGTACATACCGTGCTACGAAGGTAATCCATACAGCGTTTATTTCAGCTCTATATCACACAAAACAAGGAGAGGATCGACGAGGGTCCCTTTTCGACGAGTGTTCGTCAACACTGCCTCGGAAAACAAGGGGAAGAGATTGACCTCACCTCTTAACCTAAAATTGAGGTCAGCGATCAAACTATAATACGGAAGGGTCCACAAGGGTAGCGCGGGCATATTCCATTCAGTACGCCAGCCGGTCGTACGCAGACAGTCTTGCGACGAAGCAACGCTGCGCCGAGTCGGAGTGCCTGCTAGGCCTATATTCTGAGAGTTTCGTCGGAGCGGGATTCGCGGCTGTTGTCGCTCTTCTCGGGTGTTTGTGGATCCATAGGGTGACCAGACGTCCCGTTTTGGCCGGGACAGTCCCGTTTTTGAGGTCCGCTTCTGCCGTCCCGTCTTTTTGGCCCAATAAAGTATCACGTCCCGTTTTCGCAGGAGTGCATAGTTCCGAAATTGGCGCCAAGCGAGTTGAAGCAAACCGAAACGAGTTGAACTTCCCATATTAGTGCGCAGACTTTTACGACCGAGTCTTTCAGGATAAAGTCCTTAGGAAACTTCAGTCGTTGGCAAAATACACCCACACCAACGAAGGACCCGAAGCAGGACCTTCCAAATGAGTGCATTCAACTGAACTGTGAGTGTGACTGTTCCCTAGGCCCTATAGGGCTTAGTGCAATATTGTAACGTCTTGAAATAAAAGCAGTTATTTCATTAAAGTTTTTTTTTCTCCCAATATCAATCTTTAATGCCCCCCTTCGTCACTGATGATGTCCCGTTTTCTACCTTGAGGAATATGGTCACCCTATGGATCCAGCGTTCTTGTTCGTCGTGGTTTGTTTTAAGTACATTTCTTTCTTGCTGCTTGAAGTCGGCACGCGCGAGATGAACACGTAGAAAAATAAACGTTCAGTCAGTCAGAGTTTTGAGAGGAAGGAAACCAAAGGAAATAACCGTTCTGAACTTGGCCCTGCCCTACTGCGCACGCGCAGTAGTTGCTTCGTTTACCACACGATAGATGGCGCTTGGCTCTCAGCATTATCAAATTTGGCAATTTTCGCCACACATCTCTAATTATGCTACAAAATGTGGATCTGAATATTATTTAACAAAACTTTTAGGAAACATTCGCCGGCTATTTATTGTTTACGATCGCGGTGCTGGTGAGGTGGGCTCTTACCCAATAGGCGATGTGGATTCGGCTGACGTGCACCGATTCTGCGTATGCATCGTAGTGAAAAGGCAGAGCTTTCGAAGGAAAGAAGTCGCAAAAGAGTCCAGTTTTCTTTTAAAAGTTCTATAGCAAATAATTTTTTTTGGCTCCCTAGTCTTGTGTTTTTGTGTTCCTTTTCACACCTTTTACGACGTGCGGTGGATGAAATTAGATTTTAAAATCATTTCATGGTCCCTTTAAACCGTGAGCCGACACGAACACCGCAAATGGAAACCTAAACTCAGAACCCATTGACATTCTTGAAACGTAAGCCGTTCTCATAGGAAGTCGACTCGCCCAGTTCCGACTCGGCTAAGAACGTGACAGTTCGTCCGGTATCCTGTGTAAAAATTAAGACGAATGGCTCTCCGATGGGTCCCTGCGTTGAAAAGCGAAGTCCAGCTCGTCAAAAAGTGATTACACGAGGCGGCGCACCGAAAGGAACGAGCATCCCGGACAGCAAGGTCGCCGCGTGGGGAGCGTGCCTCCAGGCGGAGAGTGCGCGTAGACAAGCCCTGCCGACGGCAACTTGTGTCTGCTAGGGATCAAAGGATTAACACTTTTGGTGCGCCTGCGTATCCACTCGGGGAGTTTGGTACTATATGGGCATCTCAAAATACACTTTACACACAAAATGGCCCGCAAAATTTAGATCCTTGGTGCAACAAGTAGGAATATTCCTGAAATACGTGTTTTACTGGTCACATTTATGCAACAAAATTTTAGACCCGAACTACCCCTGCAGAAAAAAAAAGATTCGCTTTTTTGTACTGGTAGTTTAGTCTTGCAATATGTTTGCATAAATGTGGCCAGTAAAACACGTATTCAGAGAAATTTCTACTGGATGCGTCAAACCGCTGAAGTTTCCGGGTCATTCTTTTGCGGAGCGTCTTATTTGGGGACACCAGGTAGTTAGCTGTCACAATGCCCGTGTCCGTTGGTTTATGTCCTTGTCCCTTTTTCTCCAGTCTCGGGTTTACCAAAATGCTCTGTAAAGGCTCCGACTGCTGCAGGTGACCCTTATGGGGAGAACCCACGGAACAAATAAAACAAGGACCTTCTCCTCCTCTCCCCCCCCCCCCCCCCCCCCCCGCAGCCTCCCCCCCCCCCCCCCTTTTTTTTTTTTGAGCCACATTCCGGGTCTGCCCCCCCCCGGGAAAATGGGAACTCTACGCCGCTGACCCTGGCTTCCGGGAGCTTTCTTTCCAAAGTGTAGTCGTCAAGACGCCCTGAAACCAAGGAAGCACCTCTCTCCGAATGTTTGACTGAAGAACAAATAAGAAGGCCGCGCATGCTTATGACTTTATGTGCACACT